ATGGATTGCCCTTCCTGATTTGTCAGGGTGACTTCTCGGGTTACACAATTTATGCATACTTGATATTGAGTCAACCAGTTCATTCCCAAAATAACATCCATCTTGGCAGACTCGATGACTATCAAAGTGGTTGGAAAACGAACTCCCTTGATATCCATTTCCAAATTTTTGCAGACCAGATGGCTTTTGAACACGGATCTTGGGGATTGAACCAGCATACTTTTTCCCAAAAGCAAGCATGGAAATTTGTTTTGGGCAACGAAACTCCAAGAAATAAAAGAGTGGGAAGCCCCAGAGTCAAATAAAATTATTACAGGTATGTTATTAACGAGAAACGTACCAATGATGTTCGGGGTTTTCCAGTGCTTCATCTATGGAGAGGTTATAAACTTGCCCTTAGACGATCTTCTGGCTATGATAGGGCCCCATGTGATTGACTTGCGGCCAGAATGGGGCATTTGACTTCTTGGGACACTGCCTGGCATAATGTCTGGTCTGGCCACAATTAAAGCATGCATTGTTTTGCTGACGCTCCTCGTGCACTCGGCTGGTCACGACATTCTTGACTTGAGTAGTGGTCTTGTTCACATTCTGCTGCCAATTTGGTTTGTACTCCAGTTGAGTTTGTTGCCAGGTATGAGCCTTCTGTATGGGTTGTTTGTCCTTCTTCAGCTCGAATTTACGCTTGTGGTCATTATTACCGTGACCTGCCACATTGTGATGCTATCCCTTTGCATTGCCATTCTGCTTCTCCTTGCCAGCCTTTTCATCATCAGACTCAGGGTCTTTAGTGTTACCAGAATCAACATATATGACAAGAGCTGCCATGAGCTCCCCCATGTCATTGCAATGGAGCTGAAGCCGCCCCAGCTTCTGTTTGAGGGGAAGGAAACGACAATTTTTCTCCAAAATCAGGACAGCTGAACTGGCATTGATGTTGTCCGACGAGTGGATAATGGCCGAGATCCGGCGTACCCAATGGGCGGTTGATTCTCCCTCACTCTGGACACAAGTGTCTAAATCAAGAATCGACATGGACTGCTTGCATGTATCCTTGAAATTCTGAATAAAGTGTGCCTTCAACTCAGCCCATGATCTGACAGAGTTAGGGGGTAATCCCTTTAGCCAGGTGCGAGCCGGCCCATCCAACATCATTGTGAAATACTTAGCGCGTGCAGTGTCATTGACATCCAACATCTCCATGTCCATCTCGTAGCTCTCAATCCAAGCCTCTGGGGGTTGATCTGCTGTGTAATTGGGTACTTTTCAAGGGCCCTTCAAGTCCTTGGGTAATCACTCATTGCGTAGAGCCGACACTAAACACGGCACACCCAGCGTCCTGGAAATCACCCTGGCTTCTATGGACGTTGAAGGGTTTAATTGGGGTTGGTGGGCCACCAACTAAGCCGCTAGCTCCGCCTCTCGGCGTGCCCTCGCCTGATCTACCAAACGCGGAGCATGATTACCAACCCATGGCGGGTCATGCCCACAGGGCTAGTTACGATGCCGCTCACTACTCGAAACCGTCGGCGACTCAATGTGTTGGGTATAGCTTCGACTCTGACGTGGAGTTGAATGGATTCGATCGCGGCTGTAGGAGTAAGCCGCCTACTGAGCCACCACCGTCTGAAGGAGCTCCACAGCCTTCTGAGCTTCAACCGCCTCAGGAGACTTGCCTGTCACTGGGAGAGCCGCCAATCGTGATGTTGCGGCAATCATGTTGTACAACGGGTTAGAGAAGTGACCCGGAGGTGTTGAGACTCGCTGAGGCGAGGTTAAATCGACACAAGCTGGATCCGCCATGTGGAATCGAGCCCCCGCTCCGGTCCTAGGCGCTTCAGGGGGCCGGGTCAAGCCGAGCGGGTTACTTGGTCCCGCCCCAGGTGTATTGGAAAGATTCCTTGCATCAAACTCATGAGGCAGACGACTCTGGTATCTCCTGTGAAAAACAGTGCTAGATGCATTCTGATCCAAGCTTAAGCGAAAGTTTTCTGCTTGAATCCGCTGCGACTCCACCTCCAAGGCGGCTCGCTCGGCTGCCATCCTAGCACTTTAAGATCCTCCTTATCCTGAGCTATATCATCACCCAATTTTGCAACGTCCACATTATGTTGTGCTTGATTCGCCGGGGTTACCTCCATCGTTAACAAAGTTTCCAAAGCCTCCAATAGTGCAGATAAAACTTGAGCCGGCGGGCACACATGGCCCTTGCCCCGGCTGCCACAGCGGCCGCTGAACCGAAAACCATCGCTGCCGCAATCGACGAATTCTGCACCGGTTGCGTGCCGGCCATGAAGATCGCAACCCTATTTGGCGGCTCACAGGGGTCCGGAATACTGTCGTCATCGGAACAGCCTTGCAATTGATACATGGAATTGGTCTCGCCAGTTGAGGACTCATCATCAGAGTGGATGGCCGTCTCTCCACCGGACACATATCCTTCCTCAAGATCCACTCCATGAGTAAAACCCACGAAAGCACGCTTCACGGCGGTTTGAACCTTGGCGGGTCGTGCGTGCTGAGCCGTCTCGATGATGTTGGTGCTGGCGTCCGGCTCAGGATCTGACTCGCCAAACTTGCCGATGAAGACGTGGATTCAGCCGAAGGGGACCCGGTACCCATATTCGATTGAATTGGCCTCGGGACCCTAGCCGGCATCGTCGATGTAGATTTTGCCGCGACGACTCTTGGTCATCCGGCCCACGGCATATTCCTTGATCCCTGAGAAGCTTCCCTTCAAGAACTCGAAACCACCATGCTCTGGCCCCACGGTGGGCGCCAACTGTCGTGGTTTTAACACGGCAGATGCCCTAGCAAAAGGACTTAGGTGTGGAGCCATCGCAGTTAGGTTAGCTTAAAGGGGTTGAATGGGACAAAGGACATAGAGAATTTTACCCATGTTCAGCCCCTCTCAATGAGGTAAAAGCCTACTCCTGCTTTTGGTTGTATTGCTTGGGTTTCGATTACCAGGGAGCGAATATGCTTGACCTAGTGCTCGATTGATTGTTTCTTGAGTTAACCCGCCGCCGGGTCATCCCTTTCTATACAGGTTAATGCCCAGCAACTTATAGAGTCCCGACCGGCTCACACAAACGTGACCGGCTTGGTTTCTAACTAAACTTGTCTTACAGAACAAGTCATCTCCTGGCGGTTCACACATTTAGGCCTTGAGTCGCCTCCGGGCCTTGAGTCGCCTCCGGGCCTTGGGCCTTCAACAAGCTTGATCCATGAACCGCCAGCTTCATGCTTAAGTCGCCAATGGCATGACCCGGCCCCTCCTGAGCGAGTCATACTTAGGAGTTATATCCCCAATAGTCATCGTGTGCAGAAGGCGGAGACGAAGCACACCACAGACTTCGATGAGAGATGCTCGCATATATGGATGTGGAGAAGGAGCCGAAGCCCTCCTACGTGCCTATCTACCCGCCGTCCGGCATCGACGTTGTGGACATCTCCTATGACTAAGCGTAGCTAGCAATGTCGTAGTACGTAGGTTTATTTTGCATGGTTTGTATGGATATAGGGGATGAAAATATGAGAGAAGAACCAAAGTATGAGACGTGATCGGTCACTATTTGCGCACGTGCCTGGTCGTGTTCACGGGCGTTTGAAGGATCGGATTTACCAAGTCCGGCTCCCAGTAACTGACGAATAGGAATAGTAGGTAATCTCTTTGTAAAAGTATAATACTCCTACGTAGGAATAGGATTTGTGGCAGGCAATAGGTACTTCCGGTGCACGCTGCCGACAGTTCAAGCTAGTGAATCCACTGACCCACCACACGGTTCTTTCCTTTTTTTTCCACCACCGACGACGACGAGTGCGGCTCAGCCAGCTCGTGGGCCGTAGCCCACCAAGGCTTTTAGAGGATAAACTTTTGCACAGGGAGGAAATGAAAAGAGGCCCAGTACAGCCGGTGCTTATTGCAGCCCAAGACCACACTGCAGGTCACCCGTGTCGCCTCCCGCACGGCCCACCCGCTCCGTCTCCAGTCCTCCCCTCCCCAGTCTTTCCTGGCCGCCAGGCACTACAAACCGCCATCCATTCCACCGGCGGGCGGCGGCCGGCGCGGGGGTGGTGCCTTGGAGAGGTTCTCTCCTCGGGTCCCTTCACGGCTAGCTTAGGAGGTACCTACTTCCTCCGTAAAGAAATATAAGAATGTTTAGATCACTAAAATAATGATGTAATACAGAAGGAGTACGTGCCATGACCCGCTGAGCAGTCTGGATGTTGCTCACCTGCACGGCTGCCCCTGCTCCATGCTCATCAACTATAGCCAGTTCTCGTGAAAGGAACAAGGAGAGGGAAGGTACTGCTTGCCTCCGTTTTATTCCTAGTTAGCGCAGCACATTAAGGCGTGGATGTTTGTTCTTCAGTTTTCACCAGCTTATATAGAAGGATGTCTAGGGCTGGGGAATGAGTTCTGTCCAAGTGAATTCTACACTTCAGGTCAGTTTGATGGCTTTCATGTATTTATTTTTGTGCTCTCTGGCATTTGCCAAATTTCTGGGCATTTTTTGACAAGCCACATTCCAATGTTTGTCAACTGACGCATACCATTCTACCTGTGATGTACATTTCTTTTTTGAAGGTGTCACATACTAAGAAATTTGTTAGCTACCCTCTAGATATCTATGGATTAATGGTGGATGGAGTACAGGGGAGAGATTACAACTTGGGGAAGAAGAAGCAGCTAAGAAGAAATGGAGATACAAGCCGCCGCCGTTCAGTTCCTGATCCTAGCCGGGATGGCTGCTCGTTCTGTTATCCCGTGTAGTGAAGCATGGTGGGCTGGGCTTTCATCTATCGCTGGGCCTTCGTCTGTCGCTGGGCCGCACAATGGAAAGGGTCGCTAACAAAATTCCCCTCCAGAAGCAGCGAACAGAGGCACCTAAGTTGGCGCGGGGCGAATCTTTGGGCAATTTTCCACCTTTCCTGCCTGGTTTGGCTGCTCATTTGGTGTCCATCTCCTTGGCAGCTTCGCGCCACCTGTTGACAGAATGGCCGAGAGGTACTGCAGCAAGAAAGCGGTTGTGGCTGGTGGCGAGAACCGCTTAAGCACGCTCCCAGAAGATGTGATCCAGCCGGTGTTGTCGTTCCTGCCCTCGCGTCGAGCCGCGCAGACGTGCGCGCTCGCCACCCGCTGGCGCACCCTCTGCCTCTGGAAGTCTGTGCCATCTCTTCGCATCGATGCCGATGATGAGGCCTACCGGTGTTGCCACGACTTGAAGCGTTTCATCGATGGCTTCCTTCGCTGCCGTGACCCAACACCTCTGCACGAATGTGAGATCCTTTTTGACGATGATCGGGGCTCGGAGCAGTTTCACCCAGACTTTGAGCTGTGGCTCTATTATGCTGTGTCACACAAAGTGAGGGTTCTTCGATTCAAAATCCTAGCTGGCCATGATCCTTTGCAGCTATCTGCCGGGGCTCTCATCTCCGACCACTTGACAACATTAGTTCTTCGTTGTGTCGAGTTCTAGGATTTCTCTCTGGATATGTCGGGCTGTCAGTCACTTGAGGTGCTGGAGATGCACGAGTGTGTAATCAACATTGGGACCGTCTTACCAAAATCCTTAAAACATCTGACAATCAGAGATACAAGTTTTGGCTCTCAGGATTCCCGGTGTCTTACTTCTGCGCTAGGTCTGGTTACCTTGGAAGTTGCTGGCTGTCATGGTTGGACTCCGTTGTTTAAGAGCTTGCCATCACTAGTAGCGGCATTTATAAACACCAGATACGTATGTCTTAAAGGGTTCTTGTGGACATAGTTTCAATGGGTACTGTGGTCATGAGCTATGTGTGGTGTGCCATGGTAGAGCTGATTTTGTGTTTCTTGAAGGCTTGTCGGGCGCTACGAATTTAGAGTTGACAGCTGAATACTTTATGGTATGCGTGCACTCCTTTCCAGTTGATACGCTTGCTGTTTTGCTAATGCCGTTTGTTGTTTTCTGTTCACCTTGGTATTATCAAATCTTACACTTGAAGTTAGAGCTTCAATTGCCCTTTAATTCTTCACCTCTCGTCTAGATTTTCAGAACAGATATAGAATGGTGCCCCTATGTTTAGCAGGCTAAAAACATTGTTGCTCAGTGACTGGTGTATGGCTAATTACTTATGTGGACTAGTTTTCTTTCTCAAGCACTCACCGGTTCTAGAGGCTTACCCTTGAACACTGTACTTTATCTAAGGTATGATTTTTTGTCTTCTTCTATGTATGATGCCTTGTCTTTGAAATTGCCACGTGCTGCTGATTCATTTCAGTCAACTATTTTGCTTGCAACAGCAATGGTATGGTAAACGACTGAAACCTGCAAGCCAAAGGACAAACTCTTGGTATCAAAACATCTCGAGGCAGTCGAAATCAATCATGTGAAAGCTGGTAAAAGGATTCACCTATTATTGAAGGTCCTTGCTTTCCATTTGGTGAGGTTAGAATGAAAAATGGAAGACCACCTAACTTATTTCAGTGAAAATGTTGTCAGCTGAGAGCGCGCGCCTGCCCGTCATGTTTGTTCACATGAAGTATGAGCTCCCACTGATTCTGTTATGTGGCTCACGTGGATGCCGTTGGGAAGGCTTAAACCCCGCCATCGCGGTCCTGTTGCACGCTTGCTGGTGACCTCAACTCGGCCAGAGTCCGGCACTCAAGCATGAACTGATTAAATTGTTTAAGTCCAACGTTGATTTTGTTCTTTCTAGTAAGCTTTTGTAACAGCATCTAAAGACTATAAAGTAAACTTTGATGACACCTGGAAAGCTGTTTTCGTTGCTTTGTGGTGATTGTTCGAGTTCCTTGCATATGTTGCTTCAAATTTATTCAAACCTCTGACACCTTGGTGGGTTTAAGTTCAGGCATGCATGAATTCTTTCTTTTCTTTTCTCGCGGTTTCGTAAGTTCACTGTGATTTCAGACCCAGGTTATCTGAAAAACATATAGACGAAACTCGTCTCTCAAAGAGATTCAGCCAGATGGACTTTATTGCCCCTGTGATCAAAGAAATCACAGCCAAATATCTACGTTCTATTTATAGCCAGCACAATATCTAGGTTTGTTTTATAGATGAATAAATGTGTACTATATTATACTATTGGAGACTTCTCTCCCGTATGAATTGAATGGTGTACTTTTTTTGTCACACAACTAACATTTTGTTGGTCACAGTGATGGTCTAAATCAGGCTCAAAATACGTGCGGGCACCCTTACACAGAGTATTAGAAACAAAACATATTTATTCCTTCTGAACACGTTCAAAATAACATGATAGAATTCCCGCATAGCGAAAATTACCTTCAATCAATGGGCGACTGATATGAAACAGTACTCTTAGAAGAGCTCTTCGAACGAACAAATGGCTAGTGGAACAGATAAGAAAAAAACACGTTTCATCTGAATGTGGCATGTAAATAAACACATGTACATAAGAAAAAATCAGCACAAACACTGAGCGAACCCAATAAAAATTTGCTATAGAATGTTTTTTTTTTGGAAAGACAAAATCATTGGTAGAATTCGTGCAATATACAGTCTACACTTGCAAAAAGTTATGGCTAGCCACGAACATGACACTGCAGTACCATTTCAAGTTCCATCCTCACTTCTGAGGTTTTAAACCAGCAAAAATTCGGTACAAAACCAAACTAGACTCAAACGAAGCGACCTTCTACATCGACGACGCCTTCTCCAAGCAGCCAAACACACATCACAAAATGTGCACTTTTACCGCCAACCAGCTGCTGAACGGATGCATCAAACCAGATCTGCGCAAAATGATGCTATTTCTTTGCGTTGCCGGAGAAGAGCTTGTGCGCCGCACCGTTCTTCCAAACGTTTCCTTCAGGGCTCACATCATCAGGATGACGAAAATCAAGCATAGCCAATGAGTTGTCGCCCAACCGAGCTCTGAGAAACTTTGATGTCTTCTTTGATTGTTTGCTGTTGTTACTGCTGCTGCTGCTTCCTCCACCCTTGCCCACATACCTACTGGTGCTAGACGCCTTTGAAATGGCAACTGGATCACCTCCAGCAGATAGTGGGTTTCTTTCCTTGGAAGATCGGTACCCATCCTTTGAAAGCACTGCAGCCTCTCCTTCCTGAAGCAATTTCTCTTTCAAGGTAATGGTTTCACAACCGCCATTTTCTTTCAGGCTTTTAGAGCGCATGTTGGCGTAATAGGCCTCAGCAAGTTCGGCCTGCTTCACAGGGTCAGGCAACAAAATAGCCATCTCAGGAACAAGATGCGATATACCAAACTGCTCCACATACGAGAGATACTCTGAAGTACCAATGACACCGTGACGGTATTCACAAGCAATTTCTTTAAACGCAGAGAACCTATCCTCATCCATTCCAAATGCAGCACGCATTCTTTCCACAAGGGCATTGTTCGCTTGCCGAACATCCTCCGCAACAGGCAAAGGTTGGCTGCTTTGAGGTGGCACTTGGTTTTTATTGCCATAAGCTCTACTTGATGATGCCTGGGCAGAGGACCCACCAGAAACAAGATAAGGGGTAGAAACAGAGTGCTTCATCTTGTTTGGAGCTCTGGAATTCCATGCTGAACCGCTGGAGGCAGGTGGCATGAGCCCATTATCTCTTGTCGATTGAGGTTCGATCCGAAGGTGAGAAGACCCAGAGAGATGTAGCCCCTGATCAGGCGTAGGCCATGCCTCGGTGGAAGTGGAAAATTCAGGCACTATCTCAAGATTTTCAGCGGTTTGGGACCGACAAGAATTCAGTACCTCCATGGCGCCCTTCCTAGGTTGCTGAAGCATTGATGCAAATGTGTTCTCAGCAAGACTTTGCAGCCCCTGTTGTGTTGAAGCAGAACCCTTGTTACTTAACCCAGGCAATGGAGGGAATAATGATTCATCACCAAGCCTCGCAGAATCCCTTGAGCTCTGGTTAACAGCCGGTGCATGCTTTGCTTGATGCTTCGCAGAACCCCTTAAGCTCTGATTAACAGCCAGTGCATGCTTTGATTGATGCTCTGAGAGGGGAGGAAACGAGGTTTTTTCAGGAACAGCATCCATCCTAGCATCAGGAATATCCTGGTCTCCAAGAGGAGGAAAAGACAATTGTTCGAGCACGCCACCATTCCCTAAGCTTTGACCAGAACTGGCTGAATTGACACTTGATGACTGTAAAGGACCTGCAACACTATCAACTAGACTTCCAAGGCCATGATGTTCTGCAGTTGCACTGCCATCCCGCTCCCGCTCAGGTGTAGGACATGTCTGGGTGGAAGTGGAAACATGAGGTACTATCTCAGGATTTTCAGCAGTTTGAGGCCGACCAGACTTTAGTACCTTCATGGTGCCCTTCCTAGGTTGTTCAAGCCTTGATGCAAGTGTGTTCTTAGCAAAAGCTTGCAGCCCCTGTTGTGTTGAAGCAGAACCTTTGTTACTTGACCCAGGCAATGGAAGGAACACGTCACCAGACTTTAGTACCTTCACGGTGCCCTTCCTAGGTTGTTCAAGCCTTGATGCAAGTGTGTTCTTAGCAAAAGCTTGCAGCCCCTGTTGTGTTGAAGCAGAACCTTTGTTACTTGACCCAGGCAATGGAAGGAACACATCACCAAGCCTCTCAGAACCCCTTGAGCTCTGATTAAGAGCCAGCGTATTACTTGATTGTTGCTCTGAGAGGGGAGCACACGAGGTTTCATCTGAAACAGCATCCATCCTAGCATCAGGAATATCCCAGCCTTGAAGATGAGGAAAAGACAATTGTTTAAGCACGCGACCATTCCCTAAGCTTCGACGAGAACTGGCCGAACTGACACTTGATGACTGTAAAGGCCCTGCAACACTATCGACTCGACTTCCAAGGCCATGCTCTGCAGTTGCACTGCCATTCCGCTCCCGCTCAGGTGTAGGACATGTGTGGGTGGAAGTGGAAACATGAGGTACCATCTCAGGATTTTGAGCAGTTTGAGGCCGACCAGAATATAGTACCTTTACGGTGCCCTTCCTAGATTGTTGAAGCCTTGATGCAAGAGTGGTCTTAGGAAGACCTTGTAGCCCCTGTTGTGTTGAAGCAGGACACTTGTTACTTGACCCAGGCAATGGAGGGAACAATGATTCATCAGCAAACATCGCGGAACCCCCTGCGCTATCAAGTCGACTTCCAAGGCCATGATCTGCAGTTGCACTGCCATCCACAGGTAATGAGAAATCCCTGTCAGGTCTGTCATGGTGATCATTACGGCCCCTGCCTCTGCCGCGCCTTTGATCGTGCTCATTCCTTTGGTACATAAAACTGGTAGGTATCTGAAGTGCGGCATTCCTCTGGGCACGAGTCATCCGCCCGCCGTGCTCCATAGCATTGTGTCTGTTGATCTCTGCGTCGCTCTGGAAGACAACAAACTTCTTGGCCAAACACGCTTCATCTTCGCAGAGGAAGTGATCCTTCCTAAAATGCATCTCCAGATCGTCGTAGTTGCGGAAATAATCGTAGCTCCCAGGATGGCGCCTCTGACATATGTGGCACGTGTAGTGCTGCCTGGTCATATGCTCGTAAAGCTCATTATCTCCATAGAATGCCCTCTTGCAATACTCGCAGATCGGGTGCCCTGCAAAGCCGCCGCGCTCAACCTCATCGGAACCATCCACCTCCGTGTCGCCTGTTTGCGTGTGCCGGGTCATCTGTTCCTGCGTGTAGAGCTTCTGTTGACAGATGAACACCTTTCTCCCTCCCAAGCAAAGATTGCACATGCGCAGCCCATGCTTGTCGGCCAAATGCCCCCTTAGCAGGCCAATGGTCTTGAAGGTGCTGTCTCTGCCCTTTGCTTGCGCTTGCGCCGCCTGGCCGGCCTGGTCCTCCTCGATTCTTTCGCACACGCTGCAGGAGAGCCGGCACATGGCCCGTATCATCTTGTAGTGGTCGGCGTCGTCGAAGTAGGCCCTTGAATCCTCGTGGTACCAGTGCTCCCCCGCCTTCCCCTCGCTCGCCGCGGCGGGCAGAGCGGAGAAGTCGGAGATGACCCTCGTGTAGTCCCCCATGGCCTTGGTGACGAAGACGGAGGGGCAGTCCGTCTTGCAGATGCAGCAGTGACGGTCCCCGACCACGAAGCGGAGGCGGACGACGCAGGTCGAGCACACCTCCCGGTGGCCGCAGGGCCCGTAGGCCACCCACTCGAGCGCGTCCGCGCACACCGCGCAGCTGTCGTCCATCCCGGCGGGCGGCGGGGGTCGGTCGGCGGCGGAATCGGCGGCGGCGAGGAAGGGTTAGGGTTCGGCGGCGGCGGCGGCGGGGTTAGAGAAGGCGAGAAGGTTCGAGACGATGGAGCGGTTTGGCTCTCGGCTTTTCTCCTCTCCGCTGGAGAGAGTTTTTTTCTTTTTTATATAAGTTGGACCGCTGGCCGGAGAGATTTGGTAAGGCGGTGGGGAGACAAGTTGGACACGCTTAAACGGGCCGGCCCACTCGTACGCCTGTGCTGCGTTTCGCACGGAGCGTCAAATAGTAGGCCTCTCGTCTTCCTGCGCGACGCTTCGTGTTGCTCGAGGAAATGAATGCACGGCGATTGCCGGGGAGGCGAGGCGACTCGACGCGGTGACGCTCCATATCCGTTCGCCGCTGACCCGCCGCGTTCCTCTCCCCCACCCACCAGCAGAGAACCCAGAACCGAGATGGGTTAGGGGAGTGAGCGCTCTGCTCACGTCGCGACCCGGAGTGCAGAGCAAACCCGCCGCTGCTGAGGAGCGGGAGCACTCCATCGGACGGCCTCCTGCGCGGCGGCGACCAGAGGTAACTTGGTGCGAATCTTGGCTTTTTTGCCCATCCTTGCCGCCTGTTTGCTCATTCTGTGTCTGCCACCATCGGCAGCTTCTGGGCGGGACACCACCTGTTCGACGGAATGGCCGAGAGGCTCTGCAGCAAGCAAGCCGATGTGGCTGAGAGCGAGGACCGCCTAAGCACGCTGCCGGACAAATTGATCCAGCTGGTGCTGTCGTTCCTGCCCTCGCGCCAGGCCGTGCAGACGTGCGTGCTCGCCACCCGCTGGCGCACCCTCTGGAAGTCCGTGCCGGCCATTCGCCTCGACGCCTACGCTGGGACCTACCAGTTTGGGCAGGACTTGAGCCATTTTGTTCACAGCCTTCTCCAATACCGCGACCCAACTCCTCTGCGTGAATGTGAGATCCTTTTTCGTGATGATCACCATGATTGCGACGAGGAGGAGATTCAGCAATACTTTGAGCTGTGGCTCCGTTATGCTGTGTCATGCAAAGCGAGGGTTCTTCGATTTGAAATAGCCATGTATCGTCCTTTGAGGATACTTGCTGGAACTCTCATCTCTCAGCACTTGACAAGCTTAATTCTTTATTGTGTCCAGTTTGAGGATTTCTCTCTTGATGTTTTGGGCTGTCAGTTACTGGAGGTGTTGGACATTCAAGACTGTATAATCAACATCCGGACTGTTTTCCTAAAATCTCTACAACATATGACGATGAGAGATACAGGTGTTTTTCCCAATGGAAACCTGGTTTGTTATTTCTGCACCAGGTCTGGTTATCTTGGAACTAGACGACTGTGTGGGTTGGACTCCGTTGCTTGAGAGTCTGCCATCATTGGTAACGGCATTTATCAACGCTGGACCCTACTGCAGAGATAATTGTAGAAATAGTTCTAACGGGGACTGTGGTCTTGAGTCATGTGTGGAGTGCTATGGTATAGATGATTGTGTGCTTCTCCAAGGTTTATCAGGCGCTACGAATTTAGAGCTGATAACCCAAAAGTCTATGGTATGCTTGTGCTTTTTTTTCCTATCGATATCTTTGTTTTGCTGACTCCTTCAATTCATCTTTGCATCAGCGTATTAGTCAGTCGGAGCATATTAAACTGGTTTCTGGTGTGTATTGCATGTTTGTCACCAACTCACTCGTTTTAATCATATGTTTTCTATTTTCTTGAACATGCACCATTTTGATTACGAGAAGAATGCCGAGAAGGCTCATAACTTACAAGACCTCAAACCCAAAACCCCAAAACAACTCTAGCAAATGGAGCTAAACTAAGCAAAACTGATTCTGAGCCGATGTAAAAAAAAATAGAGGGGAAAAAAGAGGCAGGAAAGTGGTTTGCAAATCTAGCCAGCTGTTGTTAACTCTGCCACTCTGGATGCCTGAACTGCAAGGGGCAGCCATCATGTTTCTATGAAGATAGCCCCTATATATAGTTTGTTCATGAGAAAGGCATTATGCATATAGTATGCATGTGAGGCTACTTGGTACTTACATTGTACTATGCAAAAGCATATGATTCAGATTAATCTGGGAGCCATCTCAATTTGTGTGACACTTAAATGGTGCGCCTTAATTAAATATGATTCTAAAATCCGGTCCAGGGTATAAATCGCTTTATTGATTGTGCATAGTTACTCAAATTTAGAATTTGTTGAATGCTTGTAATTCATTTCAGTATTACTAAATCATATACTTCAATTAAGACTTTCAATTATTCTCTTTTTTTTCACTTTGCCCAGATCTTCAGAAATGATATAAAATGGTCCCCTATGTTTAGCAAGGTAAAAACATTGTTGCTCGGTGACTGGTGTATGGCTGCTAACTTCTGTGGACTAGTTTACTTTCTCCAGCACTCACCAATTCTACAGAGGCTTACGCTTGAACTTGCTAGTCGCTCTGAGGTATAATTTTTTTCATGTATGATGCCTTATCTTTGAAATTGCCATGTACTGCTTATTCCTTTCAGTTAATTATTTTGTTTTTAACAGGAATTTCACATTGAAACGAGTGAAATCTACAAGCCAACGGAACAATTTTTGGTGTCAAAACATCTCAAGTCAGTCAAAATCAATCATGTGAAAGACGATAAAAGGATTCACCAATTATTGACGGTCCTTGCTTATCATGGAGTACATTTGGAACTAATAAACATTGAGGAGAAGGAGGACGCTTGTGAACGTAAGTATTACTACCACTTTTTACTGTTATATTGTTTATGTAGTCTGCATGTGTGACAGTTGGAAAACTGTATTGTTATTCTAGGAAAGTAAATCACAAACTAGTACTTAAATTTGGAAAACTAGATATTCAACCATTTGGTGAAGTTAGAAATGCAAAAGACGCACCTATATATTTCAATGAAAATGTAAACCTAGGCCAAAGCAGAAATACATGCACCATTTCTACATCACTTGTCTTGTGTGCCATTATGGCACCGTACCGTACCTTTCATCCACAATGTCGCATCTTGATCGGTTGTTTAGGCTGCTGGTGATCAGCACCTAACAGTATACATGGTGACTGCATCCCCTGGGGCAACAACTACAGGTGCATGCCTATGCTTTTAAGTAGGAGGATAATGCCTGGTTTATTATTAAAACCCAGCAGGTTGCTGAATGCAGGAGCACTTTATTGAGGTTTTCGAACTTGGTGCTCTGTAGTTGCTTTGAGGTCCAGAGAAATTGTGGAATGATAAGTTATATCTTCTGAATGGCTTCATGTTAATAGCACATCCTCTGAGCACTAGAATAAACAGAGCAAGTTGAATATGCTGGTTCAATTCTGTTTAGCCGGGACTTGTATGTGCTCATTGTGTCTTCTGTTGTTGTTTCAACAGGCTTAAGTTTTCAGAACAAGCAGTAGTGCAGTCTGTCTGCTATCGTCGCTTCTCTACTCAGAGACTCCCATGCCCCTGAATATTTCACCAACAAGGTGGTACTTCCTGCGTTTTGTCAACCGAGATCGTGGGCCTGCCCCTGCCCGACACGTGTCCCGCTCAAATGAAGTATGAGCTCGTGCTGGATTCTGTTGTGTGCCTCGCCTGGATGCTGTTGGGAAGGCTTAAACCCGTCCCCGTATCGCTCTTGCTCATTTCCTGAACTCTGTCAGTGTCATCCCTGAACTGATCAAATCAAGCTGCTGAAGTCGTACGTTTTGTTTAGTCGTTTCTGGTACGACTTATTATGTAGTAAAATGTTGCGTATCCTGGTCTATCGCTCCTGGAAGACTTGTTTTACTGGCTTCTCGTGGTGATTGTTTGCTTAAGTTCCCTGCTTATGTTTGGTTTGTTGAGCATGCATGCTTATTCTTGTTGCCCATCGTGTTTGGTTGGCTGCATGAGTACATAGCTGAGATGGTCTATTCAGAACGTATGATGAAACTGATCCACTTGGCAGCCTCTGTGGGCGAGTCGGCTGCACGAGTACATTGCTGAGCGTGGCCTGTGACTAAAACCTACACTGAGTGAAGCCGGGACAGGATTTCCTGGGTACTTGAATTCTCGCCGGTTCCAGCAAAAATGATCGGCCGTTCCAGCGACGTAGGCAAAATTGTCGCCGGTCCAAGCAAAACAACTCGTCATTTGTAGCAAAATAAATTCGCCAGTATCGGTTGTAGCAAAAAATCATGCTGGACCCAGCAAACGATTTGCCGGTTGTAGCAAAAAAAGTTTGTTGTCACAGAGAGTATCAAAAGTACACACAGACCCCAGCAAAAACAACTCACAGGGCGCAGCAAAAATGCACACCCGTCCCAGTAAAATGACTCACCGGTTGTAGCAAAAATGCCCCGCCGTCACATATCGTAGCAAAAATTCACACTAGTCCCAGCAAAACGACTCGCCAATTGTAGCTCGATGTCGTGCCGGATGCAACATGAAACACCGATAGTAGCAAAAAATGACAACGATAGTAGCAAAAAGGACGTCGCCGCTGCCGCCACCGTTGGTGTCCTTGTGAACGGTTGTAGCAAATGTCAACACAGGTAGTAGCAAAACACAAGACCGTTTGCAGCAAAAATGGATGCCATCGTCCTTGTGAACGGCTGTAGCAACCATCAACATGGTAGTAGCAAAAAACGACACCGGTTGCAGCAAAAAGCCGCTGCCGCTGTTGGGGATATAATCACTGAGTGTAAGCCGTTCAGGAAAGGGCCGGTTCACCTTCAACTACGTTGAAGCCCACGAAGACCTAGAAGATGGCGCTTTACTAATGAAGCTTAGAGGCCCGGAGCCCAAAGGAGGATTAGGGCCCACAGTGGTAAACCGCCATGGTTATGTAACTTGTATTGTAAGTTAGGAAAGGAGAGACCGAGCCGGACACTTGTATGAGTCGGCCTCGGGACTCTGTAGACCGGCCGGGCGTCAACCTGTGTATATAAAGGGACGACCCGGCGGCGGTTCAGGGACAACAGACAACAACTCGAGACTCAGG